ATGGGCATGTGATTTTTATTTGACTGTCATTGACTGTCACCACCTATGAAGTATAAAAGAAACAATGCCCACCATTTTTGAACAGTTTGTATTGTGATCCATGCTTTCTAACTTCTGGTACAGCTAAAATTTGTCTGGTGCAGGTAATTTTCAAAGTTACCTGCACTCATATTTCAAGACCTGGATGCACACATACTCATGCTGTTTGGCAAATTTATATCTCTATTACGAATCTGTATGCTGAATACAATATTTCTTTCAGGTATGAAATACTAGGACATCAATAAAAGGACGCTAAAGGATCAGAGTTATTACTTAGTAACAATTTTCAACATTTGATTGTAAAAAACGTCAACTATGTACTGTGTAAAAGCTCTGACACTATTTCATATGCACCTGAACGATCGCAACAGAAGTCAAAGTTTGACAAAGTTGAGTCATAAAGGCTGGGCATGTCAGTCCAGAGGATGGCCCATGGCTCATTAGTGTCTGACAAATGCCTTCATAACCTTCCCTTCACAGCTGGCAGCAGCTTATATTGTGTAAAAATGGATATTGCGATTGTAAGTGGCATGTATTCCATCAGCATTCTCTGGCCACCTGACCACCGTTACCGAATTGTAAGGGTAATAAAACGGCACTCTTAACAACAGTTGTTTATGGCATGGATGGGTGCTTTCCACTGACCACGCACAACGCTTTTGTGGCTTACGTGTCAAGTTTTAAAGGCCCAATAAAGGGTCATTAACAGTAGGGACTCCATGCTAATCTGGACATTACCACACACCCTCCAGAGCTCTGTAAAAGTAATCCCTGTAACCAATGCTATTCATAGCCAAGGACAAGCTATAACACCACATATTCAATGACCTTTTCATGCAGTGTGAAAAATTACTATGAATTGCGCTCTCTTTTAATACGGATATGATACCTCTTTAGTGAGGGAGTTACATGTGTGAGGGAACTGAGGGAAATAATTCAAACAGTATAAGCAATACATGTATGAGTCAAAAACCTTGCAGAATGTATCGGTACTGCAGCGACATGCCAATTCACACCCTACGTCTACTGGTATATTACTATGCATCGTGTACATACATGAACACGAGCTGATCACTGATCCAGACAATTTGGCTCGACCAAAATGCGTTTTGACAAGCTCAATCCCTACACATCCCAGACGGCAATGCAATGATTTATGGCCTGTTGACAGTAATTGTAGTTGATGTGAAAAAGATACATATATAATTCAACATCCCCCAATGCAAATCAAAGTGGTAGTGAGTCGTTGTGGTATCAGGGACTAAAACTTGGCTTGTGCACTTATCCTGCTGATTTGTGCCACTCAATGAATTTTCAATCTGTGTTACTGACTTTGGAACAATACGCTAGCCTCCACTGGGCCTTCCTACGGGGTTACAGATAGTAGAATTTGCCAAAAAAGGGAAGAATGCAACAATACGGTAGCCTCCACCAAGCCTTCATATGGACATACAGAATGACAAACTAGTGGTAGAATTTGCCAAAAAAGGGAAGAATGCAACAGTACAGTAGCCTCCCCCAGGCCTTCCTATGGGAGTACAGATAGCAGAATTCACCAAAAAAGGGACGAATAATTGGCCAGGTGAGTCCGTCTGTGGGAGGGTTGATTTCCCCCTACTCCCCTTTAAAGTTTGCGTGCCTGGGCAACTGAACTTTATGGTGGCTTAACTTCCAAGGCCACTTAATTACTCTTCCTATTACAACACAGTGTACAAAATACTTCTTTGAATCAGGTTGCCCAGTAGGTAAAATAAGGCAAAAATTAGGTTGCCCATCAGAATTTTAGGTTGCCCCACCTATAAGCTACTACTTTCCTCAAATTAAGTAATGTTACATACATAAGCCTTTGACAATATTTCTAACAGCAGTTAGTTCACTGATACTAGTAATAGCCATTAATATCTAAAATTAAAAAGCATCTGCCGGATACAGTAGTGCAAGCCAAGTGGGCATGATTTGGGGGCATTCTTAAAATTCAGGTAGCACACTGGGCTACCTAGGTTCAAAAATTGGTTGCCCCAAGTAAAATTTGGTTGCCCGGGGCAACTGGGCAACCAGCAATTTTGCACGTTGACTTCAGCATTATGTCAAATTACAAATCTTTGGTCTATGTACCGCTAAATACCTTCTCAGCCAATACAGGACTCAGGAGCATAAAATTTACCAAAGCAAGAAATCTGTGATTCCAAACCTCTAGCAATTATCTACAAGTACTAATGTTCAAAATGACTGCTGACAATTTCAGACATTAAACTAGAAAGGCCGACATTTGCTTGAGAGCAAATGCAGCAGATGGCTTCACCACATCCCCCATACCGAAAATGGATCTATCCTACGATGGCTGCCAATAGTCTACACCCCCATGCAGCAATGGAACCTTCCAATGCCGGAAATAGCCAAAAAGCCCTATTTTACATAACTTTAAAGTGGTGTATGTCAAAATCGAGAATGACATTCTTTGGACATGTGTCCAAGGTATCCCCATACCAAATTTCAGGTCATTCAGATTTAATATTAGGGCACAGGAGCCAAAAATGTACATTTTTGGTCCGAAAATAGCCAAAAAGCCTTATTTTTCCCAATTATAAAGTAGTGTATGTCAAAAGCTTGAATGACTTTTTGTAGACATATGTCCAAGGTATCCCCATACCAAATTTCAGGTCATTTGGTTTTAGTACCTGGGAACCAGATCTCAAAATGTATATTTTTTGCCTGAAAATGGCCAAAAAACCCAAATAAAACAATTTTTCAAAAAAATGAAAAAAACGCGTCAGGGTGTTTGCCCACTCTACCTTCATGCCAAATTTCGTGTTATTTGGCCGGAAAATGGCAGAGATGAATCCATTTAAAGAAATGGCAGGAGGAGAAGGAGAAGGAGAAGAAACATGAGGGAACACAATATGTCTTCACCACTTTGTGGTGAAACCATAATCAAGATGCCATGTTTATACCAGTAATTAATGAGCATGTCGGCAGAACGTACTGTGCCTGCGCAGAACCCCGTATTTACTCGTTTTTCGTTGGGTTTTTGGTCAACGTTGCATCAGAATTTTGCCTGTTGCAGAGGATATTCTTTCTGACATAACATTTGGAAACTACTGTCGAAATGCTAACCTTATATGAGCGAATACAACCTTATATGAGACAATTCTGCCGAAATGCTATGTACAATACATTACGGTTTTCGCGCAGGTGCAGTACGTTCTGCCGACGTGCTTAATTAATGCTATATGACTTACTAGTAGAGGATGGCTGATATCACAATTACTGTATGATATGTCTTCCCCAGCCAGCAGCTACCTTTTTCTCAGTCCCCAAGGGAATTCAGACCTCCTCTTAGCAGCTAAAATTGATTGACAGCAGCACCCAACCCAGCAGTGGCAATTTCAAATCAACTGACATTGTGACAAGGATGTCTGCCATCAGCCTTTGATTTCATTCTAACACCAAGATAGCCTGGGTGCCATCCGATTTGTAACAGCAAAATTTTTCCGGGGTTTCGGGGTTGCCGTTACAAATTGGATGGCACCCAGGCTAACACCAAGATTGGAAACAACTTTAATTTTGTTACATACTATATTGATTTAATCAATGACCAAAACTGATGATGTTGACCCTCCATGCACACTGTACAATCAGTGAAGCACATTGACGTTGTGTAATGTACGTATCTTTACATTGCAACATATCTTTAATATGAACAGACACACAAGTGTACAGAAAAACATAAAAATTTAAGTACATTTTCAATGACACATTCCAAGGCTTGAAATACCCACCTGCTAGTTGTAATAACATTTTGATAACTGTATCTACACATGAAATTGCTGATAAGGTTGTAATATGGAAGGGAATAGTATAATGGGGAACACCACATAGGTTGTACTGTACCATACATATACAGATACCGGATACCGGTCTAGCTCAAAGCTTTGGGTCTAGCTTTAGCCATATGGAAGGCATAGTACATGTGTAGCTTATGCTACCAGTAAATTGATATTTGCAGTTTTCCTTAATGCTGACAATTGCTGGGGTCGTGCGGTGTAACGGCACAGCATACACTATACAGCTCGGAACCAAGAGGTCCAGGGTTCAAATCCTGCCAAGTCATATTTACCTTGTGCCCTTGGGAAAGGCACGACTTTCCTCACTTCGCTCGGGTGAAAATGAGTATGCCAGAATGATCATTATCATGACCATGGGCATTAACTTGATTAAGAAAACCATTTTTTTTAACAAATTTGCATTTTTGCAATGTAGGAAAACTAGATCCATTGAGCCCTACATACACATACACACATACAACTGGTAATTACTACTGTATAAGCTTCTATTTACGGTCAAAGTAGAACGTCAGAAACTGAAACATGAGAATACTTGTTTCTTCACATGACATTGGAACACAATATCATATTCAGATTTACGTGACCTTCTCCACGACCTATGCACTCACTACAGACTTGAATTTCGTGCCAACCCAACAATGTAAAGAGACACCAGAAATTGTACAACCCAATATTTCTGGCATCCCGAAACTTCGCATTTTGTAACTGGGCGTCAAATCATATGACTATCAGTTACACAAGCACACATGCTAGTAGTAGTACGCCTTGCACCAAGGAATAACAAAGCGATCTCACCATATACCGAAGCACACACTGTCTCACTGTGATCATTATAGAAGCGCAACCAGCGTTCTGAAGGTTGATCTCCACACACACACACGCACGCTGCGGTTCTAATATTCTGTGGATCGGCCCACTTTTTACTCCTCATGAGTTTTGGCACGTCCCAAGTAACCATAATTTATCGATGGAGCAACGAATAACGCACTGGGCCAGAGGATGCTCCTCACAACTCGCCCGCTCCTACAAAAACCAAGCACGCAACGGCGACGTCGTCATGTTGGTATGATAGCAGATGGCGAGTTCTAGATATTACGAGCAGAAGGAACCTACCTGCTCTCTCTTTCTTGCTCGATTTGCTGAAGTTTCTCTTGCACGAAGCGCCGGAAAATATCACTCACGTCGGCAGCCATGTTGGATGTGACGTAGGCAATTCGGACATTCCATAGACGCTGGAGGGGGTTGTCCAGCTGAAAATGCTGTCTAGTCCATGCTTCAGTTTCTATAAAATATTGTGCCTTAAATAGCTTGAACAATACTTTTAACAATTTTGTACAGTCAGATCGACATTATCCATCCTTTGTTTTGATAAAAATAAACGCATAGAAGTAGGATGACACCCCTCAGTATCGATAATGGAATGACCCCGGATCTAATATTTTGTTTCCCAGCAATAGTTTAGTGCACTGAGTGTTCAGTGTTCTCAATCAAAAATGAATAAAATTCTTACGTCATTGAAAGCTGCATAAGCACTGTGCTAAATTATGTCCTATCACCGATCACCGTTCCTTCCTCCTTTCGTCGCTTTGTTCCTTGTCAAATTGATTCTGTTCTTTACTGATACACACTTTACAAACGAGGGATTGAGCAAACTATTAAAAGTTACATGATAAATGCATTTCTTGGTTGTGTGTCTAAGTTGTATTTCTTAGTTGGCACCCTATACTTTAAAGTCCGATATAAGTGACCCTTGACCGCAATCAGTCTTGAAAAGTCCACACCAGTCCAGACCGTAACGTTACATGCAAATTAACGCCGACTCAGCAATGGTTTTTCCTTTCGGTATTTTAGTTGTTTCTAAGGTCTTTCTCTGTGGGACTAAAAATCACACCATACAGGTCGTTGAAATATATTTCTTATTTTCATGAAACTGGCCATGAAACTATGTTTTGTGGACAAAAAGACACAACTGAGCGGTTGAATTGCCCCAGCCCCAACCCCTTGCAGAATTGGCCGTCGCTTCCTTCACCGGGTTCGTACGGGCGGCCGTGTATTAAAGCACGTAGCCCCAGCCTCAGCTTTCAGAACTTACGGAAAGTCCCCTTTCGTAAGCAGAAAATTTTCGTAACCAGAAAAGTTTTACGGCAGAAAAGTTTGACTGGTAAGCCCCCACTCCCACCTGTACATTCAATCACGTGCCCCCTTGGAAAGTCCCGTTCACTAAAGATCAAAACAAGTTGCGTCGGACAGGTACAATGTATGACTTCCTCATTTTAAAGTTCGCTGCACTGCAGAAGCACAGTCTGCACGACCGTGGGAAATACAAGCTCACATCATCAAGCCTGTCTGTTTTTACTGTCAGAATCAAGACTTAAATCAGACCTCCAGTCGTGTATTAACTTTTCTTATCCTCAGACTGACAGGAGACTACGCCGTGAACGCGTGGCCTTGAAGCAACGTTGATACACAAAAGAGGAACAACAGAACAGGTGAGTTGTCACTAACATTTCCTTATAGATCACATTCTACCTAAACATAAATATTAACACATTCTGTATAAGTGCAGCCTGGATAGCAGATCCATAGCACGCCATGCCCAGAGTTATTCAATAGCCAACATGCGACGGCCTAACTCCGAGGGACTGTCACGGGAAATTTCCTTGGGGGCATGCTGGCCCTGGAGCCGAGGAACTGACCTGTGTAGGCCCTGGAAACAGTCTGTCACCCAGACAGGCTAGCTTATAAGTGGCTATGGTGACTTTTTTTTTCACGTGGTGTAAGCAATATCCTTATCCACAGCCACAGGGCAGGATCAGTACACTTCAGAGTGTTTTCTTTTGGACTAATCGCTCCAAAAGGGCATACCTGAACCCGCTGCCGGTAATTCAGCGGTTCCGGGCACTTCCTGAAGCAAAGAAGCCACTTTGTTTTCGTCAGTGTGTGTTGGCATTGTTCCAGATTTACCTGTCTTTAGCTCAGATGATTAGTAGAAGGTATTTTCAAATTTGATCTAGATATATTTCCGCTGCAGGAAGTTGTTAGACACCAATCTCGCCCGTAATAGATTTTTGCGTAGTTAAATGTCATAATTATCATACCACTGTTCATCATCGTTTACTACTGGCATTACCCGAAATTGGCATCGCTTTGTGTTGACATTTTTACCGCATTGCAGACTAAAGCTGGTAACTCTGGTAGTTCGGTGCGCCCAAGAAGCAATGAAAGGCCTGGGTACTTGCACTAGACCCTCAGGCCTTGCACAGTGGGGTCGTGTGGCGTATACATGTATCGACAGAGCGCTCGACTCCGAACCAAGAGGTCCCGGGTTCGAGTACTGACATGGCACCTATCTTGTGCTCTTGGCAAAGGCACTTTACACACCTTTCCTCACTTCTAGATATCTCAGGTGAAAATTATAGTATTGTATTGTCCCCTGTATTGGTGGCGGCATCAATATATAAGATGAAAAGACTTGAGTGTGCCGTCACCACGTCTTGTGATTACATGTTGGAATATGTAAAAAAAAAAGACCCTCCTTTATGCCTGCAAAGCGAGGCTACAGGAAATTCGTGGCAGAAAAAGCGCTCGGACGTCCCCTATTTTGTGTCCCTTGGTTGCGCCTGCCTCAGTCAACGTTGCCAATGATTAGTCAGCATACAGATAACTTGTGCATGCCCGCCAATGGCAGAATGTTCTGAAGAGTTTTTATCACACATTGGAGTTGTTAAAATCGTCACTTTACCATTGTTTAAACTCATGTTAACCAAGCATTTACAAAACTTCAATCCGACACTTCCGCACGTTGTACAAGTACAAACATGAATACTTTCCGGCCAAGAGGAAGTTTGCCGAGTGCGGTGAACCACATTTTGCTACACGTAAGCAACCACCTGTTAGCAAGTAACGTTTGACCTTTTTGGTTGTTGAGGTTAGCCTCGGAAACCAGTCTATTTTGTGGGCTGTTAAAGTTAGCCTGGGGAAAGAATCCTGTGGGTTCTGGCCACACGTACTGCTTACGGTTTGCACAAACCTTTCTCGCGAAGTTTATATTGTCTAATAGGGCTTCTGGAGCAAGTATATAGCGAGTTTATATTGAAGAATCTTTGAAGATTGCAACACAGTTTGGAGCTAGAGGAACTGAATAATAAGTGTTGAGTCATGATGTTTACGGGGTTTTCACAAACTTTCCTCGCGAAGTTTATTGTTTGATAGGGCTTCTGGAGCAAGTATAAAGCGAGTTTATATTGAATTAAGGAAACTACTGTAACATAGTTTGGAGCTAGAGGAACTGAATAAAAAGTTTTGAGTCATGATGTTTACGGGGTTTTCGCAAACTTTCCTCGCAAAGTTTATTGTTTGATAGGGCTTCTGGAGCAAGTATACAGCGAGTTTATATTGAAGAATCTTTTAACAAAACTACAGTTTGGAGCTAGAGAAACTGAATACAAATAATGTTTACGGGGTTTGGACAAATTTCTCTCGCGAACGTCATCGTTTAGGGCTATACTGGAGCATAGCCTCCTTCGTAGACTTGTGGGGCGGAGGTGTTAATTTTTTTCGGGGAGCGACGCGAGTTATGCCGGGGAGGGACGGTTGTGCCGCCGAGGGAGTTTTGCCGGGGAGAGTTTTACGGAGAGTTTTTGGTCTGCGAAAGAGGCTAACTGCTAACTGGGGCACATGTAAAGCGAGTTTATATTGAGGTATCTTTTAAGAAAACTCTGTGAATCACACTAGATGCAGTTTGAGGAACTGTTGAAGTGTTGAGTCATCATCATGGGATCACCTGTGGGTCTTCCCCGGGTATGGAGATCCCCGTTCTCCTTAAGATAGGTACGGTGCCTGGCACGGGCTGGCTCAAACTCTCGTCTCACCTTACACATGTACAGGTGGCATATGGTCGGGGCCGGTTTCTATCATCTCTATCTATTCACCAAACTCTCTGCAGCTTAACTTTCGCCGTTCTGAGGGGAACGTTAGCAGTGAGGAAAATGGTGAGTGGGTACCTAGACGTCAACGACTTGTGGACTTTAAAATTTGCTTTCTCTCATTTCTTTGCAGAGAACGGATAAGTTCCGGTTTTTATGTTTGTACTTCTGTGAACAAAGGATACAATGGTAGTTGGTGATCATACAAGATATACGTTACAATTTCTCTCCTAAAAGTTCAATTCTAGTTGAATTTTGTATTGTTGGTACTCTTGTTGTAGAACTTGAGTCCACACTTTTACTTACTTTGGATGATGGCTTTGGACTTTTATTTTGTACTTATGGACTTTAAAATATGCATCCTCTTATTTCTTTACAGAGAACGGATAAGTTCCCGTTTTTATATTTTTATGTCTGTACTTTTCTGAACAAATGGATACAATGGTAGTTTGTGCTCACTCAAGATATACTAGTACTATGCCCGTTTCATTGTTAGGTCTCGGGTCCATACTTTATCCTATGTTGGATAACAGCTTTGGACTTTGGACATTTACTTTGTACCTATGGCCTTTAAAATCTGTATTCTCTCATTTCTTTGCAGAGAACAGAGATAACTTCCCGTTTTTATGTTTGTAATAAATATTTTTCTGAACAAATGGATACAGTGGTAGTTGGTGATCACTCAAGATATACGTATACCATGCCCCTTTTATTGCTGAGTCTCGTCTGTGATGATGCAAATTTTCTCCTTATAGTTCAATGCTTTGAATTTTGTTATTGTCCAAAGCAAGAAAACAACTATGGGCTGTATTTCGCAAGAGGATCAACAATACAAAGATAACATCCCTGTAACCAATAGCATTGACGTATTTGTAAGGACAAAGGCTAAACAGGTGTCTGTTTACTATCATGAAAGTTCATCTGTGTTGGTAGTTACATGTGTCTGTTTGTTCCGTAACAAACGTTTTTAAGTACCTCTTCCTGCTCTAGGGTATGTAAGGTCAAAGCTGTTGTTATACGGACATTTGACATGTTTGTAAGTCCTCACTTGTCTTAACATCTCATGATCCCGCAGTAGATGTTATTTGTTACATTCCGATTCCGACGTTCTTATCGAGATGACGATGGTGGTTGTTTGTTTGTTTGTTTATAAATCTTTTTTGCTTTGTTTGAGTGCGTGCGTGCGTCTCTCCCCCCCCCTCTCTGTGCCTCTTTCGCCCCGGCCACTCTCTCTCTCTGTCTCCCCGCTCTCTCGAGTGTGTTTATGTGTATGTGTTTGCTTTGTTTCAATCAGTTGTTCCTTCGTATTCACGTGCGTCATGGTCAAATATCAGGCATTGTTTATTACCGTGGGAAGTCCTTGAAAGGTGTAAAAAGAGGAACCATGAACTGATTTCCCATGTCAACAAGTCTAGTTTACTTACTTCACCCACAGAAGTATGCACGCGTGATAGTTGCCTTACGAATTGCAGCTTTATACTAAACCACCTGTAAGCAATGGTCGACAATTTGGTAGGATAAAACACTGTACAATTTTCTGTCTGTCTGTCTCTCTCTCTCTCTCGACGGTCCATCTCTCCCTCTCTCTCTCTCTCCCTCACTCTCTCTCTCTCTCTCTCTGGGGTGTCTGTCTGTCTGTCTCTGTCTGCCTGTATGTCTCTCTCTCTCTCTCTGTGTCTGTGAGCGTGTGTGTGTCTGTCTCTGTCTGTCTGTCTGT